TTCATAATTAAATTGTGGTTAGGGCTGGAACTGAGGCCTAATGTCCATGCTCATGAGCAGGCTGTGGCATGCAGAAACATAACTCCAGGTGCCTCCAGTCACAGCTGAGGCCTCAATGGTCCCTGATGCTGTGACACTCACTCCAGGGCAAGATTACATCAGCTGAAGACATCCTGGTTCCTTGAGAACTGAGTAGTGATAAAGGAAGAGAAAGGTTCATGTAGGGGAAGGACAAATTCCTTTTCAGCCTGCTATCTCATCCCACCTATTATTGTAAGAATGCTTTGCCCATCTCACTGTCCTCATCAACATAAGATCCTCATCGATCCAAGATCCCCATCAATATAGAATTACCACGGCCCTCCAAGTCACCCGATACTCCCTCCAATTAATGTGTGCACCCAATAAATAGTGGCTAGCTTGGAGTGTTTTTGTCTTTGCCCACTCTGGCATTGACCTCCCAGTCCCTCGTGTACTTTGAAAGTGTGTCTCTCTTTCTTTAGTCCTCACTGCACCTCTCTCCAGGCAGATCGGAGGACTGATTGGCCTCCAATACCCCATTTTCTGAACCAGTGCCCCATGAAGGATCATGAAGATTGATTATGCACACACAGACCAGTGATCAGGTCATTTCCAATCACCTGTCCCCATGCCTTAAATCACCTGGCTATCTTTATCCCAAAAATATCTGCAAGCCCCATCCTCTGAGAGCTGGAGTTGAGTCTCAGTCCCCTGTCTCCCTGTGTAGCTACCTTGTGAATAAACTCTTTCTCTTTTGCAAGTCTCATTTGGTGCAGTGGACAAAACAGGCCTAGTTCAGAAACATTCAGAATCCTTTTTATAAAATGGCATAGTATTTGCATATAACCTACTCACATCCCCCCTATACTTTAAATCATCTTTAGAGTCCTTATAATATCTCATTCAAGGAAAATGCTACGTACATAGTTGTCACATTGTATTGACTTGGGACTCATGATAAGAAAAGTCTGTACATGTTCAATACAAACACAGTTTTTAAGAAAATACTTTTGAGCCCCACAAGGGTGATTGGTTGGTTTATTGGATGGTTGGAGCCACAGATGTGGAGCCCACAGACAGGGCTGTCTGTGTTTACAGTCAGCGTAGGAGACCCCCTTGAAGGTTTGGAGGCAGGTTAAAATGATCTCTTCAACTAGATGGCCAAAGATACCAAAGTTACAGCTGCAATCCAACTAAACATGTCCATTTGCTCACTGCACCGAGAGAGAGAGAGCACCAAAATGAAGGCCAGGGCCAGGGAAGATCTGAGCTTGTGCTGGGTGATTTTAAAGGTGAGGACCATCTCTCAGGGCACAATCAAGAAACAGCAGTTCAGCAAAAGAATATTGCAGGGTATAAAAAAAAAAAGAGCCTATTCTCTGCTTTTTCCCTTTCTTTTCTGGTCCTGTCCTGTCATTTCCTATCCTGTGTGTTTCCAGGCCCTTGCATGTGCTAGGCAAGCACTGTACAGGCCCTGGCTTTTTTTTTTTTTGGTACCAGGGATCAAACTTGGGTCCTTGCGCTTTTGAGGCAGGCGGCAGAACCACTGAGCTAAATCCCCGGCCCCCGACTTTTCTTAAAGCATTTCCTTGAAAAAAAAAATATGTGTTTATAAATACAGTATATCCTCTGTCCCTTGTGTGTGGACTTATACATACATTTTATATGTTTGGGTTTGTTTTTTTTTTTTGATACCAGGGATCAAACTCTGGTCCTTGCGCTTGCAAGGCAGATGGTGGAACCACTGAGCTAAATCCCAGGCCCTGTATTTTTTTTCTTGTGGTAAAATAGGTGGAATAGAAACTTTACAAGCTTAACCATTTTTAAGTGAACAGTGCAATGACATTAAGGATATTCATATAGCTGTGTTACCATCACCACTAGTCCCAGAAATTTTCATCACCTGAAATAGAAAATGTACGCCCATTAAGCAAGTAACACTGGCTAATAACCACAAGCCGATATTCTGGCCCTATGAATTTGCCTATCCTAGATGTCTCCTTTAAGTGGGACTATCCCATATTGCTGTTTTGGATCTGGCTTCTGACACTTAACATAAAGTCTTCAAGATTTATTCACATCATAGAACCTGCCAGTGCATTCCTTTCAGCAGTCAAACAACTTTACATTTATGTCTATGTTACATTTTGCCAGTGTTTTCAAAGGCTAAATAAGCTTCTGGCCAGCATTTGGACCCAGGAACATTATTCTAAAGGGTCTGGTATCCCTCTCTTTGAAATGTAAATATCAAGCAAGGCAGGATCCCTATTTCCACGTCACTGTGAGGGTTTAGCCCTGCTCTTTGTCCCAAGCCATGACTACCTATGTCCCAAAGATTTGGGAAGTTTCATTATTCCTTGAGGCATAGGCAATTGGCCAGCACAGTGGGTACCCATCCAGGGGTGAACTGGAAAAGAATGAACAGCAAAAGAGAGGGGTCAAGGCTCTTACCTGAGGATGTTACCGCGAATCTTAAAAGCGTGATTATAATGTAGTTCCTGGCTGCATATGAAAGAGTAGGATTACTGTTTACCTTTGTGATTGCACAGCACATTACATGTGATGTGTTTTGTAGTGTAGTTTAATGCTTATTCAGTAATAAAGCTTCCCTTTCTAGTCAGGTGTCATGGCACACACCTGTAATCCCAACATTCTGAGAGGGTGAGGCTGGAGGATTGCAAGTTCAAGGCCAGCCTGGGCAAATTAGTAAGGCTCTATCCCAAAATAAAGGATTTTAAAAAAAAAAGGTTGTGGATATGGCTCAGTGTGAAGGCTCTGGCTTCAGTCCCCAATATCAGGAAAACAAAACAAAAAAATCCCCACTTTCCCTTGTTTTCTACAGTAACGGAGGGCATTTCTCAGGGAGGTGACGGCTTTCCTTTTTTCCCCATCTTTGATCAGGACCCAGGAAGAATGGGGGGGGCCCTCCCCAAGGTTACTGATAAGAAAGCTACAGAGGCTCTAAGAAGAGCTCACTGATCCACTTGCCAGCTTCGAGGTCATCTTGGAGATGCTGGAAACTGTTTATCCGGGCCCAGGCACCATCAAGGCTGACAGTCTTTCTTTGGGTGGGGGTGGGAGATTGAGACAGGATGCCACTGTGTAGCTCAAGCTGGCCTCCAACTCACAGCAATCCTCCTGCCTTGGCCTACCAAGTGCTGGGATGACAGGCTTGCGTCACCTCACCTGGCCTGGCTGAGAGTCACTGTACTAGTTCCACTCTCTAGGAGCATCCTGATTTGGGGTAGCGGGGCACGACTTTGCTGCAGCCTCTGTCTCCCCCTGTTTGGAAGCTGACCTCTTGTGGGATGCGAGCATCATGGCAGGGGGTCCAAGGAGGTCCTGCCCAAGAGGAGATGCAGACCCTCAACTCAGCCCCACTCAGGGAGTCTGCTCTTGATTCGTCAAGAACATGGCAAGGTACAAGATGGGAGGCCTAAGGAGGTCTGAGGTCTGAGGCAGGAAGGAAGTGCAGGCCATCAAGAGAAAGGCACATTATGGTCGGGAGTTGAGTGGTTATATAGCCTTGGGGGTGTCCTCAAGATGATGACCCATGATGTGTATTCCTACTACCATGTTACCCATTGGTGGGCTAGGTTAGCATGGAAACCATTTGAAGTTTGGAGATATGGTATCCACTTAATCCTGCTATTTCCTTGGAGGTGGAAGTCTGCAGAATTTGTAAATCTATAGTATCAGAGGAAAAGCACAAGCCTAGCTGGGCAGGTGAGGTAACCTCAAGCCTTTTATCTCGGCAGTCTGGGAGGCTGAGGCAAGTGGATCTCAAGTTCACACCCAGGGCACACAGCACAAGGCTTGCCACTGAACTGTACCGATACAGTACTGTTCTGATGCACTGAAAATACCCAGCCATTTCCTGCTCCCTGGGTTCAAATCCAGGTTGTTGTCCTCATGACTCTGAACCAGTCTCACCTTTGGGAACTTTATTTTCCTTTTCTGTACACTAGGCTACCTACTGTGGGGAGCTAGGAAGGGCTGTTGACAATGACAAAATGGTTACAGGACTGCTCTCCACCCCCCTCTATCTGCCCAAAGCCAGACATAGATCAGGGACTTTGACTCCCCCACTATCACAGAGCACCACAGCAAAAGGTTCTTGAGAAACAAGCTGGGTGCCTGGTACATGACCTGCTCAGGATTGTTGGATTTCGTTTTTTGTTTTTGGTACTGGGGATCGAACTCAGGACCTTGCGCTTGCAAGGCAGGTGCAGTGCCACTGAGCTAAATCCCCAGCCCCTATTATTTATTTTTACAGCATATGGCTAAGAGCATGGTCAAGCAGAAGTCAAGTGGGTCTGGTTTAGAATCTAGTTTTCTAACCTTCCAAGCCTCGCTTTGCCCATCTGTTTGTTATTTTCGGAGAATGCCAGTTCCTATGATTTTGGGGGAGCTCTGATGAGCTACTGAATAGGAGCGTTCTGCATACATGAGAATATGCACAATTTTTGTCAATTAAAAAACTTAATTAATTTTGGTTACTGGGGCCGGAGATTTAGCTCAGTGGTTCCGCTGCCTACCTCGTAAGCGCAAGGTCCACAGTTCGACCCCCGGTACCAAAAAAAAAAAAAAAAAAAAAATCGATGCTACTAACCTGACGTGGTGGCACACACCTGTAAAGCCTGTACTGGAATCCTATCACTGTGGAAGGCTGAGGCAGAAGGATTGCAAGTTCAAACCTAGCTTGGTCAATGAGCAATTTAGCAAGATGCTCTCTCAAAAAATATCAAAATGGGACAGGTGTGAAGGCTGTGGGTTTAGTCCCAATACCACCAAAATAAATAAATAAATAAACATTGCTATTGTCTAGAGCAGAGGCATCGCCCGAAGCCGCCTCCCAAGCCAACAGCGCTGTGATTTCTTCGCCAGCGCTGGCCCAGGGGTGTCCATAGCGTAGGCGGGACGATCCTTGGCCACGCCCGAGCGCGGTGGGCGGGGCAAAGCGGGCGTCCTAGTGCGCGCGCGCGGCGGCGGCAACGGTGGCGGCGGCCCCAGGTACGCGGACAAGATGGCGGCGGCAGCGGTCGACAACGCGATGGAGGTGGTGCCGGCGCTGGTAGAGGAGGCCGCACCCGAGGCGGCGGGCCTCAGCTGCCTTGTCAACCTCCCGGGCGAGGTGCTGGAGTACATCCTGTGCAGCGGCTCACTGACGGCCGCCGACATCGGCCGCGTCTCCAGCACCTGCCGGCGGCTGCGCGAGGTGTGCCAGAGCAGCGGGAAGGTGTGGAAGGAGCAGTTCCGGGTGAGGTGAGCCCGCGCCCCGCGCCGCGACCCCCGGCCTGGCCCGTCCGCCGCCGCCCCCCCCCCGCGCCCCGCGGTCCTGGGCGCCAGAGCTCCCCCCTCCAGACCCCTTCCCTCCCTCCGCGCGGCCGGCAGACAAAGGCCTCAGGCCGCCGGCCCGGCCTCGCCGTGCCCACCCCCAGGGGCCCAGATGGCGCAGGGGACCCCGACGCCTGGCCCTCCGCTGGGCAGGCGGCGGCCGATCGCGCGCGGCGGGTGCGTTTTGCGCGCTTCTTTTGTGCCCGACGCCGTGCTGAGTGTTTACACGGAGCCGGTGATGCGGGCACCGAGCGGGCGCAGCATCCCTGGGTGGCTGGTTGTGGACAGCACAGATTTGAGCGTCCCACCCCGCATCAGATCTGGCCCCGCAACCTCCCCGTGTGATGATGACCTTGGTGGGGAGGTGGCCACTTCCCTTTTTGAAGCCTCATTCATCGACTCTGAACCCTGCTGACCATTAGACCTGCCTTTTTGACGTCGGGAAATGAGAAACGCGCACAGAGGCCCTGGCTTTTAAGAGGCGGGCCATCAATGCGAACTGTCATTGTCACCGTTATTATTATTGTTGTTGCTACCACTGTTCTCATTTTGGAGATTCGGGAGTGGAGACAGCCTTCATGTCGCCACGCCAAGGTCACAGCATTTGAGTGCGTTCATGCCTAGTGGAGATTTGAACCGGGTCCACGGCCAAGGCCCCTCTCCCACCAGATCATAATGCCGTCTCTGTCTTCCAAGGCCGCCTTTGAGTCTCCGTTAAGCTAAGGGGATGTTTCTCTCCTTGTAGGTGGCCCTCCCTTATGAAACACTACAGCCCCACCGACTACGTCAATTGGTTGGAGGAATATAAAGTTCGGCAAAAAGCTGGGTTAGAAGCCCGGAAGATTGTAGCCTCGTTCTCAAAGAGGTTCTTTTCTGAGCACGTAAGGATTTGTTGATGTCGCTAGAAGCTTTCGCCTGCTGGTGGTGTGTGAGCCTCGGTCTATAGGCATTAGCTCATCCAGCTCTTGTTGATACCTCCCTTTTCACTGCTCTCACAATCCCTTACTCACTTGCATGGCTGCAAGTCATTGTGTCCTTTCCCTCCCATCCAGCAACACGAAGCCATTTGTCCCTGCCAGCTTTACTTTTCTAAAGCCAGAGAGAGAATGAGGGTGGAGGGAGTAGGGAGAGACTGCAGTACAATGTAGGGGGAGTCCAGATCAGCATTATTTCTCTTCAAGAAGCTTAAATGTGTTTTTTGCAACCTCCACATGATGTGGGGAATCATCAATGATTGAACACTAGAAATTCTTCCTGATTGTTTGCCCCGAAGGGTTGACGAAATTAATGTAATTCTTCTCCCTGGCTTTGCAGGTCCACCCAGTAGTAGTGAACTCCGTTATTTGTTAAGGTAACAGAGGATTAAGAACTCTCTATAAATCAGAATTATTGCTTCCTCAAATCAAATCGTCTTGCATTCATTATCCCTGAAAAGTTTTGAGGTTTTTTTCTGAAATGCATGTTTTTGGTCCCCCATCCCCACCCCAAAATGTGTCACAAATTTCTGTATCCATTCCAGATTCTTAACATTTTGCAACTTTAGAAAATAGTCCACTCTCATCTTAATTGATCAAACTATTAGATTTTTATTTCGGGTTGGGGTCTACAAACAGAGCTGGTCATATTTATTTTACTACTCTGGTTTACTGAAGACGAGTTACTGAAGATTGCTTCTGGTTTTCTAATTTTAACTACTTAGTGGAGTTTACACATTTGAAATGTTTTCCGGATATTTCAAGTTTTGAAAGAGAAAATTTGAACTTTGGACAAGTTTAAACTTATTCCCCTGTGGGGGGAAAAACTGACATTCCCTAAGTAGAATTTATTTCTAGAAATGTTTCTTAATATTAGAATGAATAGAATTTGTATTCCATTTTGGAGAAGCTATACCTTGGTTAATTCACAGTCTCTAATAGTGAGTCCAGGTTTAAATGTGTTTGCACACACAGGTATTTTTGGCACGAGGCCTGTTTGATGCAGCTGGTCATGGGCTACTGGTTTGCAACCTCTACTTCTAGTCCAGCAGGTTTTGTGTGCATTTTTAACAGTCTGTGCCTTTGCCTAATAGTGATGGATTGTTGTGCTCCCCTCCACTCCTTAGCTCCCTCTTTTCCTGTACCACTGCTTAATTAGAAGGGTGTCAGGAACTTTGAACACAGCAGGAGCATACTTAGCATTGATCTGTGGATGGGTGATTGCTTTGACTCAAGACCCTTGTGTCCCTGTGTTCTTGGAATGCACACAGTTTGACCCGAAGCATCCTGGCCACTTTGAAAAAGAGAAGCGAGAGAAGTCATAGCATTTAAAACCAAGAGGGCCTTGAAGCTCTTTGTACTATCACCTCTGCTTCCAGAGTAGAAAACTTACGCAGAAGGTTAAAGGAGTAACAACCACACCAGGCTCAGGCCCTCTTTTTGTAGTTGTGTATGATGTAAATATACGATGTGCAATGGCTATTGTGAATTGGGAGATGTTGTAGTTCTAGCCCTTGTTTGAGAGCTATTTTTCTTCACAGTAGAACACTGAAGTGGTAACTTCAGAAATTCCAGTGCATGAAAATGTAATTAATTTGAAGCAATAAGGCAATCTTAACAAGTAATTGTTACTTTCTACCCCTGGCAGGTAGTGTGAGGTAGTAGAGAATAGCTGTTAGCACCATCCCTGGACTCAGATTTGTGTGTCAGTGACAGCGGCTTCATACTCTCGATTGAGGACGCCTTGTGTGTGTCTTCTTCGTAGGTTCCCTGTAACGGCTTCAGTGACATTGAAAACCTTGAGGGACCAGAGATATTTTTTGAGGATGAACTGGTTTGCATCCTAAACATGGAAGGAAGGTAAGCCGTAGCTTTCAGAGGGGATTTATTTTATCAGTAATAATCCCAGAATAAATTGCTGTAATCTGTGGTGACTGAACCCTGTTGGTGAATGTGTTTCCAAATATTTCATGCCTTGCCATAGTTTAAAAAGTTCTGCGTATATGAGATTAATGCACCAAGATAATTGATATACAGTCAGCTGTCTGTATCCATGGGTTCTGCATCCATGGGTTCAACCAATCTTGAATCAAAAATATTTGGAAAGGGCTGGGGATGTAGCTTGGTGGCATGGCGCCTGCCTGGCAAGTGTGAGGCCCTGAGTTTGATTCCCGGTACCAAAAAAGATTTTTTGGTTTGTTTTTTGGTTTTTGTTTTGGAAAAAAGCTGTCTATACTGAACATGTACAGACATTTCTTTCCTGTCATTGTTCCCTAAATGATGAAACAGTTACTTAGCAATTTGCATTGGATGAGGTATTGGAAGTAATCTAGAGATGATTTAAAGTGTTTGGGAAGATGCGTATAGGTCATACACAAATGCTGTGCTGTTTTACATAAGGGGCTTGAGGATCTGTGGGCTTTGGCATTGAAGGGAGCCAGAACTAATTCCCTCAGGGATACCCAGGGACAACTGCAGAAAGGAATCTTGTAAAACTCCTTTGGGAAGAAAAGGATTTAACATTGAGCCCTACTACAGGTCAGGTACCATACTCTGAACACTTGCATCTATTAGGAAACCTCTCAGGATTATAAATTTTCCTTCCTTTGTAGGCACCTCACCATCTGCCACAATCAAATATACCTCTCATGAATTGTATCTCTTTTTAAAAAAAAAAAGTCTCTTAGACATGTCTTAATTTAATGGATTATTTATTTATTTACTATTCCTGAATTGTAGTAAGAAATAATCTTGATTTTGAAGATTGTAGCTATGTGGCCAAGCTTTTCTTTTATCCCCCAGTTAATAGACTGTTTTGCTAAACTACTTTCCGGAGTAAGAGTCCATCCAGGCTTGGGAGCGCTCACCTGTAATCCCAGCACTCTGGGAGGCTGAGGCAGTAGGATGAGAGTTTGAGCCCAGCCTGAGCAATTTAGCGACTTAGCAAGACCTTGTCTCACAAGAAAAAATTTTTTTAAAGGGCTGGGGGTGTAGCTCAGTGCAAAGGGCTTGGGTTCAATCACCAATACTGAAAAAAGAAAAGAGAAAGAAAAGTCTATTATCTCTCCCTTGTTTAGATTTTTGTGTAGGGGGTGGCGCTGGAGATTTTTTTAAACTTTTTGAGAGACAGGGTCTCATTAAGTTCCCCAGGCTGAGCCCAAACTTGCAATCCTCCTGCCTCAATATTTTACCTTAAAGTTGCTTTCTTTTTTTTTTTTTAAATACATTATATTTTCTGCTGTGAAAGTTAATTTTCAGTTAACCTGAAAGATGACTTGGCTTCTGGCCTAATTTGCCTGTGGTAAAGATTTTCTGCTCTAAAAGTTTGGAAAACTTCACTAGTGATGGAAGATAAGAATGCTAGCTTAGCATCTCAAGAGAAATCATTTTAAAATATCTCACAAACAAGGCTTAAAATGTTTCTGTTGCTTTGAAGAGGATTTGAGAGAGGTAAATCTTCCTTAGCAAAACAACTGTGGGAGAGGTAAGATGTGTCACTATTCTAGGCCTTGGATGAGTTCAGATGTAGGGGTCACTTTCCTGTTTCTATTTTGGTTTATCTATAAATGAATTAAGTATGATCTAATAGTATTGCGCAGCCTTTAAAAAAAGCTGACTTGTGCTGTTTACACGTGTACATATATACTTTGAAATACATAGATGTGACGTCATGTTATTGGTTGTTTAATGTAGACTTTCGTTTTTCCTTATTTATGCTGTCTCCCCCTCCTTTCCACTGCCTCCTTTCACACTGGTCTTCCCTGCCCCCACTCTGTACCTTTCAATAAGAACCTATGTGTTAGTCTTCTGTGATAACAGAAGACAGTCATATCTGTGGAGAAGGGAAAAGCGGGATCAATAGGTACTTTTTTTTTTTCTCACTCAACATTGCCTTAGGGAAATTAATCCTAATCAACTGGTAAAAGATCAAATTCAGAGCTAGAGATGTAGCTGAGTGGTAGAACACTTGCCTAATATATATGAGGCCCTGTTTCAATCCCTAGTACCAGAAAAAAAAATCGCTTTTGTTAATGTCTACCTATTACAGTGTATACCACAATTTATTTAACCGTTCCTGTATAGATGGGCTGGCACTTTCTTTTCCATTTTGTGTCCTGGTGAAGATTAATATCCATAGTGGTTTTATTTCTAAGCCATAAATTCTTGGGAATGAGTTTCCTGGATCAGACTATAGAATATTGTTGAAAAACATAAAATAAGAGATATCATTTCCTTGAATGCAGAGTCTTTTATAACAAAACTATTAGTTCTCCCCAAATTAATATGTCAACCTATTGCCATGCTGATTGGAATCCAAACAAAGCTTTGGGAGAGGGGAGGTTTCTAGTTGGATAATACTGTCATAAAATATGTACAGAATAACAAAGTTCACAAGAAAAGCTGGGGGAAAAAATTTGAAATAGTCATGATGGGAAACAGTATCATGAGATATTAGGACATATTGTAAAGCTGCTTATAATCAAAACAATATAATGTTTAAAAATAGGTAAAATGGACCATCAATAATAAGGGACAATTCAGAAATATGGCGTAAAATAAAAGATAATATATTTAAACTGAGGGGAAAAGGTGGATTGTTTAGTAAATGGTACTTCATGTTACTGAATATCCATCTGGAAAAAAGTGAAACCTACATCTTATAAAAAAATAAATCTCAATAGATTAAACAACTTCCAGGTGTGGTGGTGCACGCCTGTAATGCTAGCACACAGTAGACTGGGGCAGGAGAAGGATTGTGGTGAGTTCAAGACCAGCCTGGGCTACAAAATGAGTTTAAGACCAGCCTGAACTAATAGTAAGACCCTCTCTCAAAAAACAAAAAAAAGATTAAACAACTGACATTTTTTAAAGTTCACATTAAAAATCCCTCAAGGGGATGCATATTGAGGCTATACTCTTTTAAGTGAAATAAATAGGACACATATGTGTAAATACTGAATAGTTTCTCTGGTGTGAGAAACTGAAAGTGTAAATAAGGATTAAAATGAATAATTGATGATTTGAAATAGGAAGAAAAGGTCCAAAGGGGTAGGGAAAGTGGGAGGGGAAGGAGAAAGGAAAGAAGGGAAAGAAAAAATTATAAGAAAAGGAAAAAATGGAAACAAAGTCTTTGTAAATAGGGAGGAGTGAAGGGAGGGCTGGGAATGGGGAAAAAATAAGAACCAAGATACATCATGTACAGGTTCAAGTACCCAATGATAAATGTAAATGTACTGTATACCTAAAATGGACCAGTAAAAGAATTTAAGGGAAAAAAATCCCTCAAGGAAATAAGAGGCATTTAGGGAGACCTCCATAACCATTATGACTGATGATGCGGAAGCAATGCAAGACCACAGACAAGGTTTTGTGACTAAAAAATTAACTTCTGCATGACCAAAGAAGCCATCGACAAATTCAAGACAACTCTAGGAATTTCCAAAATAAACTGAAAAATGTACAAAGGACAGGGGAAAAAGTTTACAGAAGACCAAGTCCAAATGGCTGATAATAGTGTAAAAACCTTTGAATTCACTACTCAAAAAAATGTTAAATAAAATAACTGAAATGTTGCCTTTTTTATTATCACACTGATAAAAAGACCAAAAATGCCTAGCCAGTAAAAACAGGTATTGTTACATTCTTTTTAAAAATCAGTATCATAGATATGTTTCCCTCTGGCCCAGCACATATATTTTGATCCTAAAATAGAGTTATTTTTTAATTAAATGAAATAGTCCACATTTTAGGGTGCCGGTTTCATGGAGGACCTTGCTTGTATTCATTCCTGGCAAATGGATAGGAGGGGGAAGGATAGTTTCCGTGAGTGCTAAAGCAGTAGTCCCTGGACATCTGGATAACTTGTGTTTATGGTGTCCTATATAGTCTTTAACAAAAGACCTACAGTAAAGACTTGAAACAACATATTAAAAAACATATACTAGCGGGCTGGGGATTTAGCTCAGTGGTTTTACCGCCTGCTGCACAAGTGCAAGGACCCAAGTTTGATCCCCGGTACCAAAACAAACAAAAAAAATATACTATACCTGAGGAAACTGACCCAGAATGACCAATACTGAGGTATATTATAGCAGAATGACTCAATTTTAAAAACAGAAAAGTCCTTTGGGCATCTGATCAAAAAAAGAAAAAAAAATCATTTATAAGGAAAAGAAAATCAGAATATATCATCAGACTTTTCAGCAGTAAAGCTTTATTGCCAAAGGAAAAAAGATACTCAAAAGATTCAAAGAAAATGTCAGCCAAGGATTTTTATATCCAGCCAAACTGACTTCCAAATATAAAGGCTGCAGACAAACTTCTCAACTTGGAAGAACTTAGAGACTTTTGGGCCCTTCCTGACAAATCTTCTAGAAGATGAGATTCAAACTGAAAAACCACCAGAGTACACTGACATAGAACTGATGGTAATCATTAAGTATACATTTACAGTATCTGCAAAGTCAAATCGAAATGAGGGCCATAGGGAAGAAAGCATTGCCTGTGTAATGGACATAAGCCCTGGGGGAAAGAACATATGTAATATATTCTGCAGTTTTCACTCACAGAACTAAGGGGAATATTGTTATTCTGAGGCTGGTGTGTGTATGTGAGAGATATGCAGTAAAGCCAGTGAAGATGGGCATGGTGGTGCATGCCTGTAATCCCAGCGTACAGGAGGCCTGAGCTACATAGTGAGTTCAAGGCCAGCCTGGAATACATAATGAGACTGTCTGAGAAAACAACAACAACAAAATGTTTAAATAAAATAAGTCAATAACTGTGCAATATTCCATTATCTCTGTTATCCTAAAGAAGCAAAATTCTATAATAAAGAAAAATATAGGTGGAAGAAGGTCAAAGTCATATACTTCAGAATTTGAATTAGATGTGCCAATATGAACTGATGAGGTATTTCACATTTGAATATATGTCGATGTATGTAGATCTGTGTGTACGTAGAGGCCCTGGACTTGCTCCATTCCCTCAAAAAGGTCTAGAAGTAACTAACACAATAGAAATGGTCTTCCCCGGTACCCAGATTGTGATCTTTAGATACCCCTTCCCACAAGAAGAAGCCAGGGTTATGTCCAGTTATATCCAAACTCTTAATTGGTGGCTGCTCAGTTTTTGAGAAATGGCTGATTTTAAGCCCAGTGTGGAAAATGGGAAGGATGGGCCTGGAGCATGATGGAAACGAGACAGCTGACAGTACCTGAGGTCAGAGTACTCAAGACCAACAGTGATGGGGCTTCCATTGCCCAAAGCTGAGACCATTGGCGCATCAGTGTAGATAATAAATGGCCTGCATTGAATTACCTCAGATTATGTTTAGCTCCATGGGTTCATAATAATGAAAAACAACACCTAATTTGTCAGCTTTGGAAGTAGTAATAGAAACAAATCATTATTTTGAAAATTGATAACTAAAAGGAATGATATGAGCATCCTGTCTTTACTACATATTATACCACTGATGAAGGAAAGTTGGGTTTTCTTTTTTTTTTTCATGCCTTTAATGGATATATTCCAATTTAAGAGGAAGAGATGATCTAATTAGAATGTTACCACTTTGTAACTTCTGAAGAACTAACATACCCCCAGGCATTGAGAAGCAGTGGTGGCTGACGGCACAGAAGAGGCAGTGGGCCTGACGGCCTCCTGACCGGCTACTTCCCAGCATGTTCATGTGGACGTGGCCCGCGCATTCCAGACAGGGGAAGCCACATGTCAAACAGCCCAGCTTCTTCAGGTGCCCCGGATGGAGACAGAGATGGTAGAGTCCTGTAGATGGAGAGAGTTCAGAGCCCTCAAAACAGACCAGAACATCCCTGCATGCACATGTGGCAGGCAGTCGTGGTTGTGGAGAAAAGCGGGGGACCACTGGCCATGGAGGCATGGAATCTGATTGTTGTTGGGGTGCAGGCCATGGGGAGGGTTGTGGGTGTCGGCAGAGTTCTGTTCCTTGGCCAGAGCACCGGAATGCAAGAGTGTTTGCCTCATGGTGACTCATTAAATCACCCATTTGTTTACTGGATTTTTTTGAGTGGTACATTTTGCTAGCAGGAGGTTAAAGACCAGGTAACAGCTCTCCTTTGACCTCCCGGAAAAAAATTGGAGTTCTTTGTTTCTTCAGGAAGTCAGCCAGATTAGCTAATCCCTCTCTCTCCCCAACTTTTTATAATTCCTGTGTGTCTTTGGGAAGCCGTAAAGAATTTCATTCCCTTGGCAAGTTTCATTCAGCTTCTACTCTACTGAATACTGTTCTAGGCACTGGATATATAACAGTGAGCCACACCTCCAAAAACCCTGCCTTCATGGAGCTTGTGCCGTGGTGGGGGAGAGGGGTGATACAAAGATAAGATACTTATATTACAATAGAAGATGGAAAGTGTTACAGAGAAGCACCAGTCAGGGAAGAAAGCAAGGGAGTGGTGGTAGTGGATTCAAGTAGGAGATGGGGGAGCCAGGCATGGCAGCGCATGCCTGTGATGCAGACACTAGGAGGCTGAGGCAGGAGAATCACTGCCAGTTTGAATGAGCCTTGGTGAGCAACTTAGTGAGACCTTGCCTCAAAAAGGGGCTAGGCCGGGTTGCTCCGGCGGCCCCGCCC